AGCTCAATTGAGTAGAAAAATATGAGGTTTGAGTTTGGTTTTGAACTATATGTTTGAGTTTGATTCAGCTCAAACTCGACATAAAAAAAACAGATAAAAGATTTTATATAATAAATTACACATGAAAATTAACAATATTATATATAATATAAACTTCATTAAGCTCAAATTTCGCTTAAAATTCCATTTAAACTGAACAAAATCGAACTTTTCATAAATTGAGCTCGAATATCTTGTTCCTATCCACAAATTATATAAATATGACATCAAAGAGTAAAGACTACTAATGGCCATGGACTACCAAACAAAATGGATCGAGCAAAATTAGAAAACTAAGCAAATGATTGATGCATTCATTCTGCACCCGATCCCTGTCAACCCCCAATATGGCGTGTATCAGCGGGCAATAAATCCTTCTATACTCTCATCTCTGTTTCATTATCAACTAACTTTTGGTGGGTCCAAGACCCATACAGTTCATCGGTGGCTAATATGATTTCTGCCGGTTTACCCATCTGGCGGTGTAGGCATTTTATATATAATTTTATGGTGGGTTTTAGTCTCATGGTGGGATTAGGTGTTAGATCAAGTTGCTAGAGGATTGGAATCTATTTTATTTTATTGATAGACCATGACGAGAGGATGCACTACGAGATAATAGGGGGTAATTAAGTAATTGCAAGTTCACACGTCAGCCCCTGCAAGGTATAAAATTTCAGATTTTCTCCGAGAATAATTGTGTTATACTTATTTGGGTCTAAGGTTGAATTTGGAATGAATGCAAATATGAAGAGTGTAAAATCTTAATCTTATATTTTGTATGTATTTACATTTATACTTTTTCTAAATTAAGTCTAAAAAAATTAAATTAATAGATTTAAATAAACGGAAACACTAAATGGCCTCCGAATGTTGTGTTGACAAAGAAACAACGCTGTGGTGCAACGTGTAAGCAGAATAGTAGATGTAGCTATAGATACCAGAGAACGGGGGGTAAGAATCTTTCAGTCAATCTCTCAAAAAATAAATAATAACTAACTATATATGGATGGTGGTGAGACTTAGGAGAGGTGAGTCGTCAGAATCTCAGCCAACCCAACCCTCCTCTGTCTCTATGCATGAAAATAAAATATCCCTAAAATAATAGAATAATAAGGAAATTTTCAGTTTACTATCTTGAACTCTGGGGTAGTGTCAAGTTACTACCCAAACTTCAAAATGTGTTACTGAATTACTCAAACTTTGGAAAACTGTTAATTTAGCACCCGCCGTTAGTAGTCCCTTAGTTCCCATGTAATTTATAACATTTAACATTCTAAAATTTCAAAATTACCCTTTTAAAGACACTGTGAATGAAAATATTGCTGTTAAAAAGAAAACTAATACCAGGAATTAAAAAAAAAAAAAGGATTGGTAATACCATTACCAGAAAACTAATACTAATAAGGATTTGGACGACGATGGACGCAACGTGTAAAAAGGACCGGTAATTGTTTCTAGTTGTTAACACAATTCTGAAATTCTTATTGAAAAATTAGTTAAATATATTTACTTGTGATTCATTTTGATGTGAAGTAACATTGATGACTGCAAGTGCTCACATTTTTACTACTGTTATTGGATCTGGAGTTCTCTCCCTAGCTTCGGTTGTAGCTCAGTTGGGTTGGATAGTTGGACCTTCTGCCCTCATACTCTTCGCTGTCTTCACTTGGTTTACATCTGTTCTACTTGCCGACTGTTACAGGTCTCCCGACCCTGTTACAAGCAAGAGAAACTACAATGGATGCAGTGAAAGCCAATCTAGGTAAAAGAAAAAAACGAAAAAAGAAAAAAGAAAAGGTTCCTGAAACCAGTCTGTTCTTGATGAGAATTTTAAGAGAAATTAAACAAAATCCTTCCGAATCCGCGACGCGCAGGGTGTGGTCCCAAAGATGCCTCAACCTTGGACTCCTAATTGGACTTATTAGAACCAGAAGAGCTAGAAGTAGAAGAAGAATGGGAAGATGAGGAAGACATCTTACCGGGCTTGAAGCTGAGGAATAAAAACCAAATGCCGAGCAACGCAGACAACACCTCGCCGAGCTCTCCAAGCAACTCCTCTCGCAAATGGCAAGGGGGAATGCCCGTCCACCCCTACTTATAACCCGTGGGAACTAGAATCGATGCCAGATCTACGGTGAGGATCAAGCACCGCTCTGACAAAGCTTGAGAAAACCAATTGACACGACTGTTACCGCATGCGCAAGGCCTTGGGAACCAAAGCGACGACCTCAACAAGCAACAACCAAAGCATTGATTACCCCATGCTCAAGGTTCGCCCAAGACCACTGGGTCAACCGATTTCTCTGGTTTCTTCGGGATGACCAACAGTAAATACCGACCAAAGAAGGCCTCGTTGTGCCTCAACTGAGCACCCCACCCTTTGACTTCGGAACTGGGGGAGTGGTGCTCGGATTTCGAGATTTCAAGTACATGTTCCTTAGCCGAAGAGCAGGGACCCCAACATCGAAGCTTGGCAGATCACAACCGAGCATCACAATAGCTCAGCACCTGCGAGGCCCCCAACATTGAAGCTCGGCAGACTACAACCGAGCATCACAATAGCTCGGCACCTGCGAGGCCCCCAACATTGAAGCTCGGCAGACCATAACTGAACATCACAACAACTCGGCACCTAGAGGCCCTTAAGCATCACAATAGCTCGGCACCCGAAGGCCCTCAACTTCGAAGCTCGACAAGTCATAGCCAAGCATCGCAATGGCCTCAGTTCAGCAGCTCGGCAACCCCAGGGTCCCCGACTGCGTAGCTCGACACACCGTGGTTGAGCATCACAACGACCTCAACTTTGAAACTCAGCCTCCCACCGGCAGCAAAAAGCCTTTCCTCGGCATATAGTCGAACCAAGTCCCGACTTCGAAAGCTCGACACATCATGGCCGAGCATCGCAGCGGCCTCAACTCCAAAATTCGAACCCATCCAAAGCTCGACACACCATGGCTGAGCATCACAGTGACCATGACACAGAAGCTCGACCTCCACTTGGTATCAGAGTCGTTCCTCGGCTCCACTAGGAGGACGGACCTTGAAGCTTAGTTCGACACTTCAATGCTCTGCCAAGCTACGTGACCATGCAACACTTCGGACCAAGCACTGCCCCTCCTCGGCTCCAGAACTAGGGGAGTGGTGTTCGAATTTCGAAGTTGGAGCTCTTAGATTTCTACAGCCGACGATGGGAAGATTCCTCGGCCACATTCCATATTTGCCCGATTCTCAAGATTGCAACATGCGCCAAGGAACACTAAAAGGGTCAGACGCTCATCCAAACATCAACTTGGAAGTTCCTTAGCCGAAAAACGAATTGGACTACTTCATTCCTCGACTTCAAAACTGGCCCGACAAGACATGTGGCCGCCCAGCCATCGCCCAACCACGTCATCCTAGCTCGGCCACCTCGGCATAACTCGACCACGTTGGCATAGCTCAGCCGAGCTACGATATTATTATGGCCCCCCTTCTTATCCTTTCAGCCACGTCAACTACGCGTCACGAGGGTGAGCACAACTACGGATAAAGAGGAGTAAGGAAGACAAATCCGTTGGGGAATGAGACTATCTCGAATACCTCGGCGACTAACCTTATCCCGACAACCCTAGAAGCCCAATGCGACCAGGACACGGATCTCCGGCTATAAAAAGGTACTCCATTCTCGAGGTAAGGGACCCCAACCTCTGAGACCAGTACTACTACTTAGTTCGGACCAGCACCCTTATAACTCGGCCCGACCATCTACCACCTCCTACTAACTTGAGCGTCAGAATATTTACCCGGGGATAATTCCTCGGGCTTCTGACTTCTCCTTTCTTGATCACAGGTCTTGAAGTGCAGCCTCATCCTTGTAGCTCGACCCTGCTTTGTCAGCAAAAACTATTTAAAACTATCTGATTGCTCTCCTCAATTCGTGCACCACCTCAAATTAAGCAATATAACCTTCAAAATTCAAATTCAAAACATTGAAAAACCAAGGTTCTCTCTTGAATGTCTTTTCTAATTTTCCCTTTTTTTTTCTCATAAGGAATAATGATTCAGCTCTATGGATTAGCTCAATATGATAGCTTTGCAGGGGCTACCATCGGATACACCATCACTCATCTATCAGTATGGCATAAGTAATTTAATCCGGCCCTCTAAGCTTGTTCTTAACTTCTTTTCATTCAATTTTGGCTTTAATTGTTTGTAGATAATGTTGGTTTTGATTTCATATTGCTTTTCTCAATCAGGGTTCAAATGTCCAACTGCTTTCACAAGAACGGCCACCATGCCAAGTGCGACACATCACACTATCCCTTCATGATCATCTTTGCATGCATTCAGATAATTCTGTCTCAAATACCCAATTTTCACGAGCTCTCTTGGCTATCCATCATAGCAGCTGTTATGTCATTTCTCATTCTCTAATAGGAATCGGTCTCTCCGTAGCCAAAGTTGCAGGATTCATAAAACCATGAAACATGATGGATAGATACCCAAAGAGGATGATTCATTTTTGTTGGATGGGTTCTATTTTGCAGAGAGAAACCATATTGTAAGGACTAGTTTGAGAGGGGTCAAAGTTGGATTGGATATCACTGCAACTGAGAAAATGTGGAGGGTCGTTTAGGCCATCGAAGACACTACCTTTGCCTATCCTTTGCTCCCGTCCTCATTGAGATAAATTACTAAACCTTTTTATGCGTCTGTCCGACCTGCAGCTTCAAAACGTGTCATTTTCACAAAGAACATTATAAAGAAAATTAGATGACGATTTGTGTTATTTTACATGCCACTTAACGTCTGTTAACAGTTTTGGACTAAATTTACAGTTTTTCAAAATTTGAATACTGCAGTGACAAGTTTTGAAGTTGAATTACTAACTTGACACTACCCAAAATTCAGGGTACTAATTATGTGCGATAGAATCTGAACAGTAACATGGTTTCATTTCATTTCATGAATCTAGACTCCATTTGGAAAAGCAGAGAGATCGGATTCTCTTCAACTCTTCCTTCCTTTCTCCCCTCCCTACTTGCTCTGCTTTTACATTCTCTTCAGGATTTTGTTTTTCGTTTTCTTTTTTCTTCTTTCACGTGCGCACTGCAGTTGACTTTACCAGCCACAGCCCACAGAAGTGAGGAGAGAAGAGAAAGGAAGGAGTAATACTGTAATAGGATGGTTTTGTTGGAATTCCTTCCCAGAGTTCTGTGGCTTGTGGGGTCCGTCCTAGGGGGAGATTGTTCTTAGAATAGCCTGAAATAATATAGAGTTCAGACTTCAGAAACAAGAGAATAACTCATGATAATTATAGCTAAAAGCTCTCCCTTGTGCCGAGGGTTTTAACAGAGCCATTGTAAAATTTGTTGGTCACGTTCCTGCATCCTAGTCAAGTTTTGGGTTTCTGAAGAACAGAAGAAATACCCATCTTAGCGTTTTGAAGGATCTGCACACAGTGAGTTATTTCTTCTTCTTGTGTTTTTTCTTCCCTCGCTTTGCTTCTTTCATGTTTATGGTTTGGGTCGTGTGGGTTATTGAAACTGGGTTTAGTTTTGGGGATTGCCAATTGAATTAGCTCTTCTTCCCAATTCTCGTTCGCACCTTTTTCTTGGTTGGTTTTGTTTGCAAAAAGAGTGATTAGAATTTCTAAGAGAATGGTAAAAGAAAGAAGAATCTGTAAAAAGTGTTTTCTTTTCCTTTTGCTTCTCTTGGTTACATTTTTCCACATACCAGTTACCAGATTCATTTTGTGCTCTTGATTTGGTGTTCCTGAACCGGGTTCTTACTCGTGGTAATCTGAGTTTTATTTTTAGATTTTGTTGGTCCTGCAGCTGGGGTTGCTTTAGATTTGCGGGAGATAAAAGAAGAAATCCAATCTTAGGGAAAGCTTTTTGATTCTTAGTTTTCACCGAACGAATTTTTGTTAATAGTTCTCTCTGAAACTATGTGAGGTTTCTTTTTTTTTTTTTTCTTCTGAAATAGCTCTCTGATTGCAGTTCCTAAAGATTTTTGTTGACGATGTTTCTGCAACTCGGACAGATTGAGTTTTTGAAGGCTGAAGAAGCGAATACGTCCTGGAAGTTCCTGTATCTGTTTTATATATTTTACGTTCTTTTCTGTTTTGGATCCTGACTTCTGCAATTCGAATGCAATAAGCTGTTTTTGACGGAGTTGTGAGGGCAAACAAACATGGAAGATGGTGTTTTTCCACGGGCTACAACTCTGGAGACTGTTCCGGAAACCACTGGGGATTTTGATATCATGGACGAACTCCTGTTAGAAGGGTGCTGGTTGGAGACGATTGATGGATCTGATTTCCTGCAGCCTGGATCCTCTATTTCAACTGATTTCTTTGACTCTTCTTGTTTTTCTCCTACACCTGAGATTAACACGGGCAATATGAACGCAATCCCACCTAAAAACGGCCAAGATAAGACAAATGAACCATCTTTCCCTGAAAATCCACCCGATCAGTTTGAGAGACAAACAGAAGGCGCCATCAGGATTCAACCTGAAAAGCCAAATGCTGTCGAAATTGCCGAGTCGTCAGGCAGAGCAGGATCGGAATGTTGTTCAGCTGAAGCAAACTGTGAGTTAAGCAAAAGGTGGTGGATTGGACCAAGTTCCAATCTGGGTCCTTCTGTAAGAGAGAGATTAATGCAGGCACTGGGATACATTCAAGAGTCTACGAAAGATAGTGATGTCCTTATCCAGATATGGGTTCCTGTAAAAAGAGGAGGTAAGCATGTTCTTACCACAGATGGTCAGCCATTCTCACTGAATCCCAGTAGCCAGAGGCTCGCAAATTACAGAAATGTGTCACTGAGCTATCAGTTCCCAGCGGAGGAGGACTCAAAGGAAACTATTGGGCTTCCAGGGCGTGTTTTCTTGGGGAAGGTGCCTGAATGGACCCCTGACGTTAGATTCTTCCGCAGCGATGAGTTTCCACGCGTTGATTATGCACAGAGGTGTGACATTCGCGGGACACTTGCCCTCCCAGTTTTTGAGCGAGGGAGTCGAACTTGTTTGGGTGTGATTGAGGTTGTTACTACTGCCCAGAAGATCAATTACCGTCCCGATGTTGAAAACGTCTGCAGAGCACTCCAGGTCTGTCTGTTTCCTTCTCTCTTACTTTCAGAAATTATAGCAACTTTGAGAGAGGTCATCATGTCTTATTTCTTTTGGAGTTTGGTAGCCATGCTTGAGCTTGACTGCTGCATATATGCAGTTTGAATTTGAATTACTAGCTAATTCACTAATCCACCAACTACCTAGAAAAAGAAGAAAATTTCTGATCGAGATCTAATTGAACTACACCGAGTTCCCATCCCATATTACCCCACAAAAAGATTCTTGACAGTTGACAATCAATATAGTTCGTTGCCTTCTTTGTACATTGTACGTTCTTTGTTGGAGTCAATTTTCACATCTCTGAGAACCATGTCAATATGTGATAATTCAGCCTTCAACTTCAAAGGAATAAGCTTAATTATATTGTTGTTCAGGGATTTGATATGATGTTGCCACTCATGGTTTTCTTCTATAAAGTCAATCTCTTTCATCTCTGTCCATAGCCCCTCTGTGTCCTCCCACAGCCTAAGGGTTGTCCACGTTGATATCATCTGATACATGCTTTCTTACGTTAATGGAAAAAATAAATAAAAAAGAAATTTAGAGAGAAATAGGAGAAAGATCCCTTCAGGGAGTTGGACCTTTTTAATTTAAACAGGGTTCATTCCTTGGTCCTAACTTAACTCATCAATATATACTACAGAATCAAACTATAGAATCCAAAAAACTAAAACAAACAATTCACACCTTAAATCCGTTAATACATGTAATATCTCTCATTAATCCGCCAATCAACTAACCACAAATTACTAAATACTAATCCATCAATCCACTTACCAGTTACCACCAAAATACATAACAATAACATATATACCATAAATACACTTCTGGATTCTTATGGTTTTGAACCTGTGCACATCTTGGTTCGATTGGGTTGAGTTCAAGGCTTCAAGCCTAAACCATCCCCAACCCAACGCAATCTTCAACCAAAGATTTCTCAACCCTAACCCAACATTAAGAACCCCAGCCATGAGTTTTCTTGGATGGATTCTATAATTGAAAGTTGAAACCTTCCCCACCAAATACGTTGTACACTTTATAGTTGAATGTTGACTCCAACTACTACTGGGTGCTGTTATCCCTAATAAAACACCGACACATTTGCCAATGGAAACAAACAAAAGAAAAAACATTAATTAATTTCAACAAAAAACCCTAGGGCTACTGTTCTAGATTGTTCCTCCAGGGTTCAATTGTATGGCATAGGTTTAATTTCACCCTGTATTATAAATTCTGTTTTTCCAATAGAAATATAGAATTAGAACCAACCAAAGTGTTATTAGGTGGGATTCTGATTGGTCAAACTGTCAAACGTGAGAGTGAGAGCGGACGGATAAATAACTTTGAATTGGACAATCCCATGAATTATGGAAGTGTAAGAGATTCAGATTTCGGACAAAAAAAAAACGCCATTAAATTCGTTGTGGGCTGTAGGACCAATAATTACGCCCCACCCCACCTCGTCTTAAATGCCAAGTGAGAGATTGAGCGTGAAGCGTGAAGCGTGAAGCGTGAAGCGTTTACTATTGACCCCACGGCTTCTCATCAACTTTCAGCCAATCCGCTTGCCGCTCCTCTCTGTTTGGTTTTAGTCTCTGTTGTGGTACTGTGGGCGAAAAACGCCGTCACATCCACACTACAGTTTCAGCATTAGAAAATTGAAATATTTTAATTTTTGTGTATAGGGTATTTGGAGAATCATATCATCAAATTTTTATTTTCTATACCCAAGTTTCTTGATACTCAAGACACATTTTAATGGGTATTAATTTGAGATGAAAGTGAAGAATAAAATACGTTTAAAATAAAGTTTATTTAAACAAGAAAAACAAAAAACATTTAAAGTAAAAAATTATAAATAAACGTTTAAAGTGAAAAAATACAAATACGGCCAATCTATAAACGCCTAAGAAATTAAACATATACTTAATTTTTAAGAGATTTCACATACATGTAAAAATTAAATATTAATTATTTAATCATTTCCTCCGTTGGATTCCGTCTTGACTTCTTCAATGGCCGGATGAATGGCGTGGAGAGGGGTTAATGGGTTATCATCCCTCTTCCCGTTCTGAAAATGCAAAAAATATTCTGCATAAATGTAGAAGTGGTATGGCTTTAAACCCAAATCCTCACCATCTGAAACTTGTTTGCAATTTGCAGGCTGTTGATCTCACGAGTTCTGAAGTCTCAATTTCTTCCCATTTGAAGGTGACCAGAACCACATCTTTTTTTTTTAGCAAAACCTAAAATTCACAACATTCTACTTCAAGTCGTGATGGGAAAATTTCTTTCCCTTTTACTTTTTAACAGGGATCCAGTACCTCCTACCAAGCTGTATTACCTGAGATTCTAGGGGTTCTAAAAGCGGTCTGCGAGACATATAAATTATCCTTGGCTCAGACCTGGGTTCCATGCACCCAACAGGGTAAAGGAGGATGTCGACACTCAGATGAGAACTACGCCGTGTGTGTTTCCACTGTGGATTCTGCTTGCTATGTGACGGATCCTCAAATGTGGGGTTTTCATGAGGCATGCTCCGAGCACCACCTGTTTAGAGGTCAAGGTGTTGCTGGAAGAGCTTTCACCACAAACCAGCCCTGCTTCTCAACTGATGTTACTGCCTTCAGCAAGACAGAATATCCTTTATCGCACTATGCCAGGATATTTGGGTTGCGAGCTGCGGTTGCAATCCGCCTGAGGAGTATCAGCACTGGGTCGATCGACTATGTTTTGGAGTTCTTTTTACCTGTAGATTGCATGGGTACTGAGGAACAGAGGGTGATGCTTAATTCCTTGTCCACCATCGTACAGCGGGTTTGCCAGAGTTTACGGGTTGTCACAGACAAGGAGATAGAGGACGAAGCTGGTTTTCCGGTTCATGAAGTGGCGGTTCCCTCAAACGAGAGCCCTGAGCAAAAAATAGCAACGGGTTTGGGATCTACAGGGTTCAAAGGATCTTCTGAGGAAGAACCATCCTGGATCACACATATGATGGAATCCCAAAAAAAGGGTGAAAGTTTTCCTTTGATATTCCAAAAAGAAGAGCCAAATTCAGAATTCAAGATCACAACCCACTGGCAAAATCCTGGACTGGTGTTTCATCAAGGAGAAACGTTCTCTGAGTATAAGCAGCATCGCCAAGATTCTAGACCCAAGAATGTTGCCGAGCCCGAGTGTGGTGGGAATTCTTCTGCTTTTGGTTTTGGTGAGCGTAGTTCCTCAAGCGGCGGTAAAACAGGAAACAAGAGACGGACCAAGACAGAGAAGACTATCAGCTTGCAAGCTCTTCGGCAGTACTTCGCCGGGAGCCTGAAGGACGCTGCCAAGAGCATTGGCGGTAAGTTGAATACATTATAATTAATAAGGATTAAATGTAGTAATTGAGTCAATCTTATACGATTTACCAAATTAAAGGAAAAAGAAAACTAGGACTAACCTGGAACAACTCCTCCGTTCCTTTTGTGGGTTTTGATTCCTGTAAAATACCTGCGGCCTTGGTCCTCTGCAATTGACCACCAAGTTAACAGAGTTGGTTATAATGTTATGGTTTCTGTTGCAGTATGCCCCACCACCCTGAAACGGATATGCCGACAACATGGGATCACCAGATGGCCGTCCCGGAAGATCAAGAAGGTAGGTCACTCGCTGCGGAAGCTTCAGGTTGTCATCGACTCAGTGCAGGGTGCAGAGGGTGTGTTTCAGATTGGTTCCTTGTATTCTAACTTCCCGGAGCTGACCTCTCCAAATTTATCAGGAGACAGCCCCTTTTCCACATCCCAGCTAAATCAAGATTCAAAGCCGCCATTAACATTAAATACACAAACTGACGGTGCGATAAGCAGCCCCCTGGCTCCTGCATCTACTACCAAATCACCCTCGTCTCCTTGCAGTCAGAGCTCCGAGTCAAGCCACTGCATTTCCAGCGGGAAAGAGCAGCACCTTTCTGCCCAGATTTCAGGTGGTGAAGATATTTCAATGGCTGAAAAGGCTGGTACAGTATTAAAGAGAGCACGTAGTGATGCAGAGTTGCACGCATCAAGTCAAGAGGAGGAACAAAGGCCTCCAGCGAAATCACATAGCCAGAAATCCCTTGGTGAACATCCTAATCCTAGCCTTGAGAATTCACTACTTCAATTGCCTAAGACTAAGAGTGGTAGCCATGTTTCACTTTCACGAGGTGTGAATGCTATTAGAGTTAAAGTTACATATGGAGAAGAGAAAATACGGTTCAGCCTGCAATCCACCTGGGGTTTCAAAGATATACAACAAGAGATTGCAAGGCGATTTGAAATAGATGATACAAGTAGAATTGATCTCAAGTATTTGGATGATGACTCCGAGTGGGTCCTCTTGACATGTGATGCCGATTTGGAGGAGTGTGTGCATGTATATAAGTCATCTAGGACACGCACAATCAAACTCTCTGTCCACCGAGTTTCTCACCCAAGGAGTTCCGCTGGGTAGTACTGGGGCCTACATGGCAGTTGATCAGGAACCACCCTGTAAGTAACTCAGTTCAATGGTTCTACTCTACACATGTAACTTTTCCATCGAGAATGGGTTTTTTGGACGTGGAAAAGCTATCAACTTTAACAGTTGTTAGGTGGTGGATACTGGGGGGAAGGGTGGAATTTAATTTAGGTAAAGCATTTTTTGTTGGATTAATTCATTCCCATCTTGGTCTGAGGTTCTGAAGATGGAGATGTGCCCTTCTGGAAAGCGAGTGAGAGGAAAAGAAATTATATCTGTGGGTAGTTTGATATGAATGAACAAAGGAGACCGACCTCTTCTTCAAGCAAGCTAAATTTCTCTCTCACGTGTCTCTGGGGAATGGTTTACTGAAAAACAGCTCGAGGAACTACAAGTTCTGGGAGCTGAACTCGACAAAAGGGGAACTGAATTTACACATTTAGATGAACAGAACAGGAATCACCTGAGCGCATGATAAGCTTTTCCAGGAGATGACTGAAATCCATTAAAATACTGAGATTCCTCGATTCTCGGTAAGTGCTACTGAGACACTGTTCAAAGTGCCCTTTTGTCTTTTGAGGGATTGAGGGGCAAGAAGTTTGGAACTCCGCATGTATACTGATTTGTTACTGCATTTGTCTTGCATTACAAGGGAGGTAATTGGGTGTTGAAATGATGTTGTTAGTGTGGTTGAGAGGAGTCTTTTATCACTTTTATGTATAAATAGATGGGCACGTTTAGATACGTGTATTATTCACTTATTTACTTCCAAGAAAGAAATTGAAATTAATTCTTTTTATTTTCCAATGCGTATTCACCCTGAACCTGAAATTCTACCAAGGATTTACAATATTTCTGATTTTGGTTTATTTTGTTGGTATAGGGCCATTACTGTTCGGAAAATGACTTACAATGTTATGTTATATAACTATTACTCTGGAATATTAGGAACAGTCATAGTAGTTTCATTTATAGCTAGGGCTACAACTTGGCCCGGTTAGCCCCAAACTAACCAAAAAAAAATGGACCGGGTTGCATAATGTTGAAACTCAAGTTCAATGTTCAATAATTATCGAAGATTAAAGTATTGTTATTTATTAGAGATTTAATTATTAATTTAATTAAAATTATTAATGTTTACAGGTCAGTTCGGTTGTATATTGGCCAATCAAATTGACTTACTTGGGTTGGGGAATTGGTCACCGGAAATCGGCCGACCATTAGTGAAAATTGACCAATTCGGGTTGTATCAATTTAGGTTAGTTTTCAGTTTGGTTGGTCAGTTCAAAAGATTTAAATTTAAAAATTAAAATTTTAAAAATTAAAATGGTACTATTGAAAAAATAAATTAAGAAATTTAAATTTACAATATAAAATATTTTAGACTCAGAAATATGAGAATTTCTCACTTTTCAATATTAGAAAAATTATGTTTAAAATATAAAATATTAATATATATATCTATGGTCGGGTTGGTTCGATTTTGGTCAATTCACAAATGACCAAACCAAAAGTGACCCAATCTAATCGAGTTGGAAAATTGTTGAACCAAAACTGATTGAAAATATTAGAAAGCCGACTAACTCGGGTCGAGTTAGGCCAGGTTGCAACTTCCTCCCCTTAAGGCTATAATTGTGAACAGTATCCACCTTTTGTCCATACTTCAAATTCAAATGAAATCCATTTAAGGATGACCCGAATTTCATTTGTTTATGATTAGATATAGATTTATTCCGGGTCTATATATATATATATATATGCTTATTTATACAGAAATTTTATATTTTGTCTGGCTATTAAAATTGGTTTGGATATTGTTTATTTACTTAAGAGCCATAACTTCAAGTCTCATGGAAGGTATATTCAATTAATTTTATTCATAATATACAATATCAAAACCATTTTTAGTTTTATTAACAACATTATAATATTTTGACAATCCATAGTTTTATTGAAGTTGTTATATACCAAAAATCAATCAGAATCTGATAAATAGGATGGATGATTTGATTCATCAAAAAATTTACGAATCAAATTTGGGTCTAGGCATATCAGTTTGACCCGATCTATTTGATCATACATATCACATGCAATTGCAATACAAGTAGACTATTTCATTATGTTTAGATCATATATATTACATGCAATTGCAATACAAAACAAACAAAACATAAAAATGGGATTTTCAATACATTATATACATCAGCTAGAGCTGTGATGAAGTTGACACTTGATCCTCTTCTTTCTTCTCAATCAGTAGACATCTTCTTGACGGGGGTCCACAAATGCTTAATACCACCTGGTAGAAAACAGATATATGATATATTATTTAATTTTTGATGCATTACATATATACATATATATACTCTGACCCAGCATTTCCCAAGCGTATCACAATATGTCTCTTAAAATTGTCTTTCTAAAACTCTTTGACATGCTGCTAATGCTTTGAATCTTGTAGCTTAGCAAAATATCACATCCTGCATGCAACTATGAGAAATTTGCTCTGCGCCTAGGAGCTTGGAGTGGTCTGAACTCAAATGTAAAGCCATTGAACTCAAAAAATAAGTGAATGCAACGGTAGCACTATAGGCATTTAATTGAAAAATGAGAAAAAACTAACAAGGTGACGGGTATTAATGCAAACATGAGGTTAGGTGATGCTAATTTTGTCCTGTGATTTAACCATGGGCAACTGTAGCTAAGGCCTGTGGAACTAACAATTGGTCAAGAAAGGAACACTTCAATATCTTGGTCTAAGCAATTATGCTATGTTTCACTGTGCATACATACACCTTAAATGATCATAGAATGCAGTTCATTTAAAAACTAAGACCAAAAAGACAACAACATTGGGGGTCGCAGAATTCTGCAGATTTTCTAGGCACTCTCAGGTCAGTTTTATTATGCCAGGATATCCTATTTGGAGTTGGGACTGCAAATAGTGACACAGACCCTGCTGTAGTGCTGTGTGCTGCAGACATGATTATGCACTCCTACTTTATTCTGGCATCTTAGAAAAATAGATAGATTTTTAACGATGGAAGTGCAGTTCAACTTACGGGTAAAAATACAAGCCCGTGCAAGAACCCAATAAGTACCAGTGCTAGGTACATTTGGAAGTAATAAACCTGCAAGAATACAACAGAATTTAGACATCTAAAAGAAACCAGCCAAAACAATTGAAAGCTGGATGGATAAGATCATAGACCACAAAAACTTCTGATCTTGCAAAGCATAGGACGATCACTCCAACTAGCTTGGTAAGTGTAATTCCACTGCCAAAAAGTGAACAAAAGAATGTTACTCAAGTTAATGGAACCATTATTTGGAAACAGGAAAGGAATCAACAAGATGAAGGGAAAAATATAGTATGCTCAAAGTTCATCTTATTTGGATTCTGGACAACTTTTTAAGCTTCTTTCTCTTGACACTAGTGAATGAATTCTAGTGTTAAGCTGTGGTTGAACTCGTGACCACCCAAGAGTCACTGAGGAATGAATGCCCACTGAATTATGCTTCAGACTAGACCAATATGCATTGCTGTTTGTGCTCTTCTAGTTTCTTCTATTCTGTGCTATAAGCCGGAGGCACATCTAGGCACATTGTCCCAGTCCCAAACCAATTACTAATTGGGATAATTGGATCTTACCCAATTAGACCCAGTTATACTTGACATATATAATTAATTACATGTGATAAAAGCAATTTAAAACTATTTTTCTTAATATTAACCTTGATAAAATGACAGTAAAAATAGTAAACTGTTTATATGCTGATAAACAGTGTTTTTAACCAAAATTATCTTATTTACTGTCTATGAAATTTACCCTTTATATAACAAATACTTGCAAGAAAACCAGGAAATCTTTACATATTATTAACTATATAATCAGTTTGGAACAGCAAGAACCATTTTCAACCCAATTATTAATCAGGACAAAACCACAGAACCAGTACCAAGATAATCAGTTCAGTTCTGTCAGTTCTGTCAAGCAGACCCAACCAATTGACAGCTATATAGGTAGACAGGTGAGGTGCATTTTAAGGCATGTGCATTGCCTGAACCTAGGCATACTCCCTTTCAAGAGGTGTGTGCCTGGTGTACGTTGTCCCTCAGCCTTGGCACGTGTTCATAAACCAACCCATTAATATATACAGGCAAGAAATTTGGGTTAACAATACATCAAACCCATGCATGGACTTGTTTGGGCTTGCCTCAAGGGGCCTTTATGGAGGTGGATTGCAGATTTCCTAGAATTAGGAATGCAAGATGTTTAATATCACACAAGCTACTTTAACACAACTAGGAGATACATAAACAGATTTAAGGTTTCACATGCTTAAATTGTTAAGTGTTTGAGGCACTTTCGTATGGTCCACATACATCTGCTTTCACTTTTACATTGTCACTTCTAATATGTTTTATATTTTATGCTTATATATTGTAATTTGATCCAATAGGCTTTTTCAAACATTCAATTTCTTTTAAGATGCAGGTTTGGGCATTTCTTTGTAAGGGTGCTCACCTCACCTTGTGCCACAGGCACTAGAAGGCTCTTAAAATTATCTATCAAATTTTAAATCCATTTACATCCTTGTGATAGTGTTCAATCCATAGTGCTATTATTTTAAATTTCTTTAAACAGGATTAAATGTCAACCTGAAGACAGAAGCTCCCATGGTACTAAGAGCCTCCTTTGCTCGTTGGCCTCTGTCTCCATCGGTTACCTGCAAAAGAAGTGCAAGATTATTAAACTGGTGGCATTCACAATTTTATCAACAAAATACCTTCATTACTACAAGCCATTGGCCAAGGGCAAAATTTCTCCTTGAGCACCAAACTAAGTAAAGATTCATCCTCAAAATAAAATAGAAAGTGGGGTAACACTCACCGAGAAAGCATGTGTAATATGCACGCAAAACTCAACAGCTATCCCTATTGACATTACTAGGTTTACAACAGAGACTGCATTCAGTTGAATTTCTAGAATTGCCATCACACCCTGCAGCACAGTTTAATACTATATGTCAAAGGAACATGAAAGAGAAAGGTATGAATGATTGAACAGATAAGGCAACACGGTAAAGATGTAAACCAGAATAAAGATTGGAGAAAACCTTGAGAAGTGAAAATTCCTATCTTCCCACATTGTACAGCACAGGAGGTACACAAACAAGGATTGCAAACCTACCACTCAAAACCCACTTTGCAAGTTTCCTAGATCCAATATTTACCCAAGAATCTGCTCCTCCTATAGACAGGCCTATTTGTATTTATTCTAAAAACAAACGGAAGTTCACAATAAGTCAATAACAGTGCCATCATCATCACCATCATCCATGCCTTAACCCAACTATATGGGGTCAGCTACATGAATTCCATTTTGCCAATCCATTCTATTAAAAGCCATATCCACTATTAGATCATTTGTGCTTGAATCATTTCTTACTACTTCTACCCCTGTCCTTTTTGGTCTACCCCTAACCCTTCTAGTCCCTTCAACTTGTAACTTGTCACTTCTTCTAACTGGTGCTGTTGATGGTCTTCTGTGCACATGACCATACAATCTTAGTCTACTTTCTCTCATTTTATCACCTACTGGGGCTACTCCTAGGTACCTATGGATGACTTAAATCTTCATCCTATGCTTTCTGGTTTTCCACTCATCCATCTTAGCATTCACAATTCTGCTACACTCATTTTCTGGACATGTCTCTTAACTGCCCAACACTCTTCTCCATACAAAATAGCTGGCCTTACAACTGTTTTATAGAATTTTCCTTTTTGTCCAAGTGGTATTCACTTGTCACATAAAAGCCCAGATGCACCCCTCTATTTTTCCCATCTTACTGTAATTCTTTGGGTGACATTCTCCTCAATAAGTGTGTAGAATTGTTACTTGTCAAAGTTGCAAATGCTCTACAACATAAGATATGTTACTTGAACAGCATCAAGGAATTAATTAAGCTAGTGCACAAAACAGATATAAAACAACAAAGAGGAAATTTCAAAAAAAGATTGTCAAGTGAAGAAGGCTCACCATGAGATCTAGAACAATCATTGCCAAGACAATTAAGATAATTGCGGAACTCCATATACTGCATATCATGCAAGACAAAGAAACCAAATTAATGGTACTCGGGTTAAGAGAGGAGAAGAAATACATAACCCTCGACTATTTATTTTCCTCCAAAAATAGAAAAAAAAAAGGTAATACAACAACTTAAACTGAGGTCAAATGAAAACAAACCTGCAAGTGATTACCAGGCATACAATAAACACAGCACCTATTAAATTAAATAAAAGTTTCAATCAGTAGGCAAGAAGTAAATTATCCAATGGAAGATCCAATCCTTAGCCTTTACTTCATTATCAATGAAAATTAAAGAGAACAAGAACATGAAATGGGTTTAAAAGCTAGCAAAGCCTAAGAAGGCATCAGTGATTTTGTATGCTGAGGTATGATGCAAGGCATTTCACTTGCCTAAGGTGTGGATTGTGAGCATCATGACCATGCATTTTTTAATAAAAAAATAGGAGAAATCTGGCACCTTCTCTGTGAAATCCTTCTCCCATAGCTTGTCTAGGGAGGAGCCTTATGACTTCCCAAGTAACAAAATCTGGACCAGATCTGTTCCCTCTAAACTGGCTTTCTTTGTTTGGTCTGCAGTGCTGGATAAGATTTTAACAAAAGATAATTTAGTTAGAAGAGGTTTAGAGGTGGAGGATTTCGGCTGTATCCTATGTAGTGCAACTGTGGAGTCCTCTAGCCATTTGCTGATTCACTGTGGTTTTACCCATTGGATTTGGATGAATGACGAATTTGTTTGGGGTTAAGATGTGCTTCTCTGCTGATGTGAAAGGATTGATAGCAGCTTGGAAACTTGGAGGTTTATCCAGGTGGAAAGGTAGCTTGGAGTATACTTCCTGCAGCAGTTTTTTGGGCAGTATGGGGTGAACGAAATAACAGGTTATTTGAAGGAAGACAAACTTCAAAAGTTCTTAACAGAATTTTGGGGATGATGCACTCCTGGTTGGCAGCTAATCAGCTATTCAAAAATAGGCATATGTCTTCCTTTTTTGATTCAGACTTCCTATTTGTAAGGAATCTATAGTCTTTTTGGTTTTCTTGGAGGGTTGGAAATATGTGGATAATTGTTTTACTGCTGTACAGTTTCTCGTTGTACAGAGGCTTATTTGTAATTTGGCTTTTGATCTTAATGAATTACTTCGCCTTATCCTCAAAAAAAAACAAAAAACTCTATCAATGAATTAATTTAAGTTGTCAAGGCGACAAGGCGCCCTTTGAGGCTCGCCTCGCCTAATCGCCTAATCGCCCTTTTCTTGTGAAAATCATGAATAATTTGATGTAATCTCAGTTATGTTCTGCAGGGGCATTTTTGTCTTTTAACCTTTTATTTTTTATGTAGTTGCCCTAACTTATAAATACAAACCCTGGGCACCACCAGTTTATGTTTTTTTTGGTCTAAATATTTCGCCTCTTTCTTCTCTCCTCTCTTCTTCTTTCTTCTTCCTTCTTCTTCTCTCCTCCTCTCATCTCTTGATCGAGATCTTTCTTCTTGCCGAAATCATGGTATCAGAGCAGGTTGGTCCTCTAAATTTTTTTGGTCGATAACATCCTCTGTGTTCACTTGACTGAGAATGAAGAAACGAAGTCAGTTCTGGACCTGAGAACTCATCAGCTGAATCCCTCTCTCCAGTTCTGGGCAGAAACTCAACGGAAGTGATTGCAGAAAATTCTTGATGACTGGTTGAGTCCTTCCAAGAGGTTGGCGGCTCCTTTTTTCTGTTCTCTTTTATTATTCTTGGACTGGAAAATCCAGAAACCACCT